AAATAACTATAGTTGTACCGTTAGGTGCTTCTAGATAAAATCAGAGGGAACCTAAGAAAGAAAGAGAGAAGGAGCAATTCAATCCTATTCCCATGTCGTACAAGGAATTATACCAACAGCTCTTTGACACTCATGTGGTGTCATCTTACCCTCTGGAACCAATTAAGCCCCCTTAGCCAGATGATATGATGAGAATGCTCACTGCGAATACCATAGTGGTGTGTTGGGGGCACACGATCGAAAATTACCTCGCATTCAAGAGGATTGTACAAAGAATGCGCAACAAGAATTGGACCCACTTTAACTCCGGAGCACCGAACATTGCACAAAATCTCTTGCCTAATCATCAGGAGACTGAGATTAACATAATTACTACTGAGAAGGGCTAGAGAGTCAAAACTGGTGTTTCAGAAATAAAGTCTCATTTGTCTTGGGTATGATCTAAATGGTGAAAATAGGGTTTTTCGCACCATAGTCAGATACAACAAGGAATGAAGATGGTAACCACTATTGTTACCACAATGAGGAGGGGCATAAAGTGTAGAATTGCCCACAATGATGGATAGGAAGGAGCTGGAGTTTTACGAAGAAGTTCGAGATTCTCTGGAAACAGACGTTTGTGTTACCGGAGAGTCATCAGAAAGAAGATATGTTAGGTGTAGTCCTTTGATAATTATCCCTAAAGAAAAGACATCAGAAATGACATAAGTAAAGGTGGTAATCACAGCACCCCGACCTTTTCACTACAAGGACAACCGACAAGTACCGTGGAAATACGAGTGTCAAGTGAGAGCCCGGAAGGAAGATGACAATGAAGTATGGCAGACTGCGAGGAAATGCTACTCCCAAGAGGCTAAGTCCCCCCAGAGGTCACTCAAGCCCTTCAAGGAGGATGTGCTAGCAATTAACGAGCCCATAAAGGAGGAAGAAGCTAGGAAGTTCCTCAAATTTTTGAAGCACAGTGAATACAACATAGTAGAATAACTACATAGCCTGCCGATACGCACTTCAATGTTGGTGCTGCTTCTAAACTCGGAGGCACACATGGAGGCACTTCTGAAAGTTTTGAATCAGATGTTTGTGCCACAAGACATACCAGTCAGCAAGATGGATCGACTAGTAAACAACATTCAAGTCGATAATCTCATCTAATTTTCAGATGATGGGATTCCATCTGGAGGAAGAGGTCGAACAAAGGCATTATATATCACCACCCACTATAAGGGGCACACTTTACCGAGTGTTTTAATTGACAATGGTTCGACCCTTAATGTGATTCCTTTAGTTACATTGAAAAGGCTGTTAATGGATACCTCTCATATGAGAACCTTCCAGAGCGTGGTCCGAGCCTCTGATGAGACCAAGAGAGAGGTAATTGGTATGATTGAGGTGTCATTAACCATCAGACCTTCCACCTATAATATTGAATTTCTAGTGATGGGCATCATGCCTTCCTACAACTGTCTTTTAGGAAGGCCTTGGATTCATCAAGATGGTGCAGTACCATCCACACTGCATCAACAAGTCAAGTTTTTCATCGATGGAGCCTTGATGATTATTAACGCTGAATAAGATATTGTGGCAAGTGTGACCACATACACTCCATACATCAAAGAAGACTGGGAGGCGGTAGAATGTTCCACTCCTTAGAATTTGTGAATGCCACATTCATGGCTGAAGGAAGAAAGATTTCCAAACCCTGGCTTTCCGAGGCACCAAGATGGAGATCAAGTATACCTTGAGACGAGGTACCAAGATAGAAAGAGGGTTTAAAAAGCTACTACAAGGAATGATTACTCCAGTCATTGCTGTATCAAAATTAGATCAGTTTGGGCTAGGTTTTCAACCTAGTCTACAAAAAAAGAGGAGGGAAATTCAGAATAACCGAGAAAGACGATTGACTAGATTGATTGGAACTGAATTTCAATGGGAACCCATGGTATTCCCACCTCTTTACGACACATTCAAGTCAGGTGGTTATGTGCTTGAGACCATTTTATCAGATTTGGCAGTGGCTCTAAAGCATTTGAGTATCAATACCGTAATCACAGAAAATACTGAAGACGTAGATAGATCCGGAATCCGCCCACTGCCACCTCGGTCTATACTTAGCAACTGGTAGGTGAAAGAACTGCCTATGATTTTCAAATGTCTTTCAGAGTAATTGTAATGCCCAAAAATTTATTTAAGGATTAAATTGAAAAGATTTAAAAATATGAGGATTTATTAAATTAAATAATGAAAGATGAGGATGAACAGGATCCATAGCTTAAACTAAATTGTAAGAGATGATGATTAAAAGGATATTTTGGTCATTTGGATTAAATTGAATTTAATAGTCAATTAGTGGGGAAATAAGATAAGGGATAAGATGAAGAGGGGAATAGAAAGTCAACCCTTTCATATTCTTCTCTTCTTGCCGTGGAAAACTCTCCCCTTAAGCTCAAAGGTAAGTTTTCGATTTAATGGTTATTTCCTTTGATTTTTGATGGGGATTGAAGCTTTGTATACTATGGAAGCTAAAGGAAGATTTAAATGAAATTAAAACTAAGTTATTGATGAGATATTAGAGATTAAAGATAATGACTTTTTGAGTGGCATGCTGAAATATGAAGGTTTATGGATGTTTTATGGTAGATTTGACTTGCCATTAAGTTAATTAAGAAATATGAAGTATTAGAATTTGATATAGAACATGTTGAAAATTGGGTATGATTCTTGAATCTCATGAAGAATATAAGATTTTGAGGTTAAGGATGTGGTAAATACGCATAAATGAGTTTAAATGAACGTATTTGAGTTAAGAGTATGAAAGGGGTTGAAATATGGAACATTTAAGCTGGAATGAAGTGAATTTCGTGCTCAAAATGTAAATTCTAGGCAAGGTGCATCGATGCATAAGTAGTGCACCGATGCACACCTAATTAAATAATCATCGAATGCATATAGTGCATCGATGCATAGGCTGTGTACCGATGCACCAGTGAGAGGATGCATCGATACACTATAAAATGTACCGATGCATACATAAAATAAAGGAATAAAAATAACATTTCTTTTAGTTTAAGAAATTAAAGATTTCAAATATACTAATAATTGATATTGAATGTGTATTTAATGGATGCTTGAGTAGATCAAAATCAAGCTCCCGAGTCTAGCAAAACGAAAGGCAAAGACAAAGTAGCTGAGTAATCGGAATTACGTATTGGAAACAATAGCAAGGCGAACCAGGTGAGTGCATTTAATTATGTACGTACATGTGATAATAGTTAAAATAACATAATCTCTTGATATATGTATAGTGATTACCGAATGGCACTTTGTGTGCTTAAATGTTAAGGAAATCATACTGAGTGTATAGATTTCCATATGGAGCACTGAGTGTGCTAAATGATAAGGAAATCATATTGAAATTATGGATTTCCAGATAGGGCATATTATGTGCTAAAATGGTAAGGGAATCATACTGAGTGAATGAGTTTCCAGATAAGGCACTAAGGGTGCTAAATGATAAGGAAATCATATTGAAAATATGGATTTCTAGATAGGGCATATTATGTGCTAAAATGGTAAGGGAATCATACTGAGTGTATGGGTTTCCAGATAAGGCACTAAGGGTGCTAAATGATAAGGAAATCATATTGAAAATATGGATTTCCAGATAGGGCATATTATGTGCTAAAATGGTAACAAAATCATACTAATAGTATGAATTTTCGAATAGGGCACTTTGTGTGCTAAAATGAAAAGGGAAATATACTAAGTGTATGATTTTCCAAATGGATCACTGTTAGTGCTAATATTAAAAGGAAATTACATGAATTGTATGAATTTCCTATGGAATGTATGGATTCAAATAATGATTGATAAATAAGTTAATGGCATCAGTAATGCAGATTATAGTATATTCATTGCAAATAAAGATTCCTTGGAGATTAAATATCGGAAGATAATTTGTATGTAGAAATGTTATTCATGATTGTTTATGCCTCACTAAGTAATACTTAACGTGTGTTTATTTCACGCGTAGGTTGAATACAACTTGTAAGGAGATATTTGGATATTCAGTCAAGGTCGCCTCATCAGTAACCGTATGACATAATGAACTGTTTTAGTTATATTTTAGTCGGCTTGTAATAGATTTTAATAAACTTGTTTTAAATGAATTTAAACGTATTTATGTATATGGTAGCTGTATAGTGAAACACGGTTAAATTTTTATGAGTTTTATGCATATTTGCTGAAATTACTATAGCAGTTACTGTAGCAGTTACTGTAGCATAGCGATGCACTGTTCACGGTACTGTTCATCACTTTTCACGGTACTGTTCATTACTATTCATAAAAATCTTTTGAATTAAATTACTATAACAAAATATAAATTATATGATATGATATTTTTATAATATCAATTATTATTTTAAGAAAGTAAATTTTGAATCGTTTTAGAAAAGAAAATGGTTTTAAAATTTGGGTGACATCTATAATCTGTATAGGTATAATTATACGGGTTATGAGTGTTACATTTATTGGTATCAGAGCTACAGGTTTAGCCGATTCTAGGACTAAATAGAATTTGTTTTGAGTTAAAAATGAGTTACATGCCACTAAGATGTCAAGGTTACTGATAGGTTATAGAAAGAATATGATAGATGTCTCTCCTTACTAACTTAAGAAATATTTATATGTATGTTAAACCAGATATCGGATTCTACGAATTCGAGAAGGGCAATTGGACTAGAGAATAGAGATGGATCAGGTAGTGAAAGTTATGAAGAGAACAGTGAACATCCGATTCCATCGGAGAATGCTAGTGCACCACAACCTCAGGGTATGCCTGTTCCGGAGTTTGGAGTTTTTATGCAAGCTCTAGATGCTATCATAGAACGACTCCAACCTTCTTCGACTCCCCCTGCTCCTTCAGTACAAGGATGCTACTTCCAAAGGAGTTAAAAAGTTTGGGAGCTCCTGAATTTAAAGGAGAAGAAAGCGAGGGCCTGATGGACGCAGACTTATGGTTGAATGATGTTAAGGTGATGTTGGAGAGTTTACAGTGCTCCGATCATGAAAAGTTGGGTGGAGCAGTATCATTACTCAGAGGATCAGCTCGAGTATGGTGGACAAACACGACAATGTATGCATCGCCTGAACAAGTGAACTGGCAGTTCTTTCTGGATGAATTTAAAAACAAGTATATTGGGGAGCAATTTATGAGATCGATGTTGTTGAAATTTCTAAACTTGAAACAAGGCGATCGAACAGTGCATGAGTATGAAGCTGAATATAACAAACTTATTCGATATGCTACTGAGGTAGTACCTAATGAAAAAGCTCGCCGGGATTGGTTTATTGAGGGCTTGAGGCCTAAGTTGAAAGAAATGATGTTGGACTTAAACTTGTCCAATTTACAAGAGGTTATAAACAGAGCAAAGGTCATTGAAAGAGCTCAAGAGGTGATGTTAGCAATATATCAGAGTATTTCGATGGGAAAAAGAATCGGAACGTCTTTATTTGCACAATATACAAAAAGGGACAAGGGCTCAGGTTCTCAATTCACAAATAGAACTGATTATTCTGCAGCTTCACGGAAAACTAAGCAGTCTCATTCTTATGCTGTTAGCTCAGGAGGAGCTCATAGAGAGAAATCTTTATGTCAGACGTGTGGCAAGTCAGACGGGGGAGCATGTAAGTTGCTTTCTGGTACTTGTTTCAATTGTGGTGGATATGGTCACTTTGCTCAAAATTGCCCGAAGAAGTATGGTGATTAATCCGTACAGTCTGAGAGATCTGTGGCAGCACCTAATAGAAGCAGAGGGAGAGGAAAATCAGACGGTCAATCTGAGGCTAGCTAGAGACAAGAAACTCGGGGAGTGGCTCGAGTATATAATATAAAGACTAAAGATGATCGGGATGATCCGGAGATTGTAACAAGTACATTTCATTTTTTCGATGATCCTGTTTTTATTCTAGTTGACCCTGGTTCGACACACTCATATATTAGTACCAGGTTGATTAAAACTAGAGAAATTCCTGTAGAACCAATATATAGTGAAATGATAGCAGTAAACCCTCTGGGGCATAAGGGTAACTCGAGTATGTAGAAAATGTCCAATTAAGATTCAAGGGGTTGTATTCTTAGCAAACTTAATGGAGTTTTCTTTTGATGAATTTGAAATTATTCTGGGCATGGATTGGTTGTTTTCGCATCATGGATGGATGGATTGTCATAAGAAGTGATTATTTTTGAAGGATGCGAAAGACTCCGAAATGGTAGTGATTGCTAAAAAAGCGAAATCATCCTCTCGTGTGATATCAGCCATGACGGCTAAGAAAATGATGAAAAAAGGTTGTGTAGCTTTTCTAGCAATGTGGTAGATACTCGAATACCGAAAGTGATGTTAAAGGATATTCCTACAGTTAAGGTATTTCTGGAAGAGTTGCCGGGTTTACCTCCAGATCGCGAAGTGGAATTTAGAATATAAGTTTATCTGGGTACTGAACCTGTTTCTATGGCTCTGTATAGAATGGCTCCAACGGAGTTAAAGGAATTAAAAGCACAATTGCAGGAGTTGCTGGATAAGGGATTCATCAGACCCAGTGTTTCTCCTTGGGGAGCACCAATGTTATTTGTGAAAAAGAAAGATGGTTCTATGAGGTTATGTATTGACTATCGTCAATTAAACAATGTAACGATAAAGAATAAGTATCCTCTTCCGAGGATTGATGACTTGTTTGATCAATTAAAAGGTGCATCAGTATTCTCAAAGGTAGATATGAGATCGGGATATCATCAGTTAAATATTGAAAGAGAGGATATCTCCAAGATGGCTTTTCGGACTCGGTACATACATTATGAATTTGCGGTAATACCGTTTGGATTGACGAATACTTATGGACTTAATGAACAGATTGTTTCAACCATTTTTGGATCAATTTGTAGTAGTGTTTATAGACGATATCTTGTTTTTTTCCAAATCAAAGGAAGATCATGATACTCATCTTCGATTAGTCCTTCAGATACTTCGTGATAAGAAGTTATATGCCAAATTATCCAAATGCGAATTTTGGTTATATGAGATTTCTTTTCTCGGTCATATAGTGCCGACAGAAGGCATTAGAGTGGATCCTAAAAAGATTCAAGCCATAGTAGATTTGAAATCTCCAAAGAATATTACGGAAGTCCGGAGTTTCTTGGGACTTGCTGGTATTATAGAAGATTTGTGAAGAATTTTTCAATGTTATCTCTGCCACTAACCAAACTGTTGTGAAAAGATGTGCCATTTGTTTGGACAGAGAAATGCCAAGAAAGCTTTAAGATGCTAAAAAGAATTGTAATTGAAGCTCCAGTGCTTGTGCAATCTGAGTCGGGTAAAGAGTATATAGTTTATAGTGATGCATCCCATAATGGATTGGGTTGTGTGCTGATACAAGAATGAAAGGTTATGGCTTATGCCTCCAGACAATTGAAGAATCATGAGCGAAATTACCCGACGCATGATTTAGAATTGGCTGTAGTGGTTTTCGCTCTAAAAATTTGGCAACGTTATTTGTATGGTGAGCGATGTCATGTTTACACAGACCATAAAAGCCTAAAATATTTGTTGACTCAAAAAGAGCTGAATTTAAGGAAACGAAGATGGATTGAACTTCTAAAGGATTATGATTTGGTTATTAAATATCATCCGGGAAAGGCTAATGTGGTAGCAGATGCGCTTAGTCAAAAGACTTTTGTAGTTCTAAGGGCTTTAGATACAATGTGTCATTTAATGATGATGGTGTTTTAATTGCTGAATTAAAATTAAAGTCGACATTTCTAGATCGAATTAAAGAGCTACAAGGTCGAGATAAGAAATGCTTAATGAGGTTGAAGCAAGTTGAAAATGAGGAAATTAAAGATTTAAAAAAAAAGGATAATGGATGTTTATATTATCGAGGAAGACTTTGTATTCCCGAGGATGAGGAATTGAGGAAAGAAATTCTTTGCGAGGCGCATTACAGTTCGTTGACGATATATCCCGGTGGAAATAAGATGTATCAAGATTTAAAGAGTCGTTATTGGTGGCCAGGTATGAAAAGAGCTATAACCGAGTTTGTAGCAAAATGTTTGACATGTCAACAAGTGAAAGCTGAACATCAAGTACCTTCCGGACTACTACAACCAATGTCTATTCTTGAATGGAAGTGGGAGCGAGTTACAATGGATTTTGTTTCGGGGTTACCTTTTTCACCAGGTAAAAAAGAATCAATTTGGGTAATTGTAGATCGATTGACCAAAACAGCTCATTTCATTACAGTTCGAGTAGATTATTCGATGGATAAATATGCTGAAATGTATACAAAAGAAATAGTTAGATTGCATGGAGTGTCGATATCAATAGTGTCTGATCGAGACCCAAGGTTCACCTCAAGATTATGGAAATCTTTACATGGGGCATTGGGTACTCGATTGAATTTTAGTACATCTTTTTATCCACAGACAGATGGGCAATCAGAGAGAGCTATTCATATACTAGAGGATATGCTGAGAGCATGTGTAATTGAGTTTATGGGATCATGGGAAAAATATTTGCCTTTAGCGGAATTTGCGTATAACAATAGTTATCAATCAAGTATTAAGATGGCTCCATATGAAGATTTGTATGGGAGAAAATACAGAACACCATTAAATTGGTTTGAATTAAAAGATCAAGATCTGGTGGGGCCGAATTTGATGAAAGATATGGAGGATAAAGTGAAAAATATCCAGAGCAATTTAAAGATAGCTTCGGATCGACAGAAGTCCTATGCAGATTTAAAATGGAAAGAAATAGAACATCAAGTGGGAGATAAAGTATTTTTGAAAGTATCACCTTAGAAGAAATTATTACGTTTTGGGTGAAAAGGAAAACTGAGTCCAAGATTTATTGGACCGTATGAGATATTGAAAAAGACTGGACCTGTGGCTTATCAATTGGCCCTACCTCCGGACGTGGATAAGATCCACAATGTTTTTCATGTATCAATGCTTAGAAGGTATAGATCAGATCCTGCGCATATCATCACTCCTGAGGAGATAGAGATTCGACCATACTTGATTTATGAGGAAGAATCTATATGAATTTTGGAAAAGGAAATCAAGGAATTACGTAACAAAAGGATTCCTCTAGTCAAAGTGCTTTGGCAGAATCACAAGGTGGAAGAGGCTACTTGGGAAAGGGAGGAGGATATGGAAAAGCAGTTTCCACATCTTTTTAATTCAGGTACTCCTTTAAAATTCGAGGATGAATTTTATTAAGGGGGAGAATTGTAATGCCCCAAAAATTTATTTAAGGATTAAATTGAAAAGATTTAAAAATATGAGGATTTATTAAATTAAATAATGAAAGATGAGGATGAATAAGATCTATAGCTTAGAATAAATTGTAAGAGATGATGATTAAAAGGATATTTTGGTCATTTGGATTAAATTGAATTTAATATTCAATTAGTGGGGAATTAAGATAAGGGATAAGATGAAGAGGGAAATATGAAGTCAACCCTTTTATCTTCTTCTCTTCTTGCCGTGGAAAACTCTCCCCTTAAGCTTAAAGGTAAGTTTTCGATTTAATGGTTATTTCCTTTGATTTTTGATAGGGATTGAAGCTTTGTATACTATGGAAGCTAAAGAAAGATTTAAATGAGATTAAAACTAAGTTATTGATGATATATTAGAGATTAAAGATAATGGGTTTTTAGTGGCATGATGAAATATGAAGGTTTATGGATGTTTTATGGTAGATTTGACTTGTCATCAAGTTAATTAAGAAATATGAAGTGTTAGAATTTGATATAGAACATGTTAAAAATTGGGTATGATTCTTAAATCTCATGAAGAATATAAGATTTTGAGGTTAAGGATGTCGTAAATGTGCATAAATGAGTTTAAATGAAGGTATTTGAGTTAAGAGTATGAAATGGGTTGAAATATGGAACATTTAAGCTGGAATGAAGTGAATTACGTGCTCAAAATGTAAATTCTGGGCAAGGTGCATCGATGCATAAGTAGTGCACCGATGCACACCTAATTAAATAAACATCGAATGCATATAGTGCATCGATGCATAGGCTGTGTATCGATGCACCAGTGAGAGGATGTATCGATACACTATAAAATGTACCGATGCATACATCAAATAAAGGAATGCAAATAGCCTTTCTTTTAGTTTAAGAAATTAAAGATTTCAAATATACTAATAATTGATATTGAATGTGTCTTTAATAGATGCTTGAGTAGATCGAAATCAAGCTCCCGAGTCTAGCAAAATGAAAGGCAAAGACAAAGTAGCTAAGTAATCGGAATTGCGTATTAGAAATAATAGAAAGGCGAACCAGGTGAGTGCATTTAATTATGTACATACATGTGATAATAGTTAAAATAGCATAATCTATTGATATATGTATAGTGATTACCGAATGGCACTTTGTGTGCTAAAATGTTAAGGAAATCATACTGAGTGTATAGATTTCCATATGGAGCACTGTGTGTGCTAAATCATAAGGAAATCAAATTGAAATTATGGATTTTTAGATATGGCATATTATGTGCTAAAATGGTAAGGGAATCATACTGAGTGTATGGTTTCCAGATAAGGCACTAAGGGTGCTAAATGATAAGGAAATCATATTGAAAAATGGATTTCCAGATAGAGCATATTATGTGCTAAAATGGTAAGGGAATCATACTGAGTGTATGGGTTTCCAGATAAGGCACTAAGGGTGCTAAATGATAAGGAAATCATATTGAAAATAT